TTTTTTTTTGGACCGACCCAAATCAATTTCCCTCCGGGAGCCGGGGATCCCCTTTCTCTTTTTATTTTTGAATTTCACACTTATAATATTTAATGGTAAAAAAATCAAATTCATTTAATTTACATATTATATCTTAAAACTTTTGAATCTTATGATTAATATTGAATAATAATAAATAACTCTTTATAAATCCCTTCAACATTATATAATATTATTCATTTTAAATTGATGTATCTAATTTTCTTTTTAAAATATTCAAATTTTAATTCATTTATTTTTATATTTTTTTTCAGAACTTGAATTTTTTTTTTGGACTGACCCAAATCAATTTCCCTCCGGGAGCCGGGGATCCCCTTTCCATTGTTATTTTTGAATTTCACACTTATAATATTTAATGATATAAAAATCAAATTCATTTATTTTACACCTACTTGAAACTATTAAATTGTATGATTAAAATTAACTGATAATAATTAACTCTTAATATATTGCTTTTATCATTATTAAATATAATTCAATTCAAATTCATCAATCCAATTTTGTTTCAAATTTTAATAAATTTATTTTTTTTTTCATCTACCTAAATCAAAATTCCTCCAGGAACTGGAGATGCCTTTTTAATTTTTATTTTTTCATTTTAAATGGAATAACCATGATAATTTTGTAATTTATTTAAAATATTATAAAAATCTAATAAATTAATTAAATTAATGCTTTATATGCTTTTTAAGCTTTATTACTATTTATAAATCAAGTTTAAAAATTTTAATTAAATTTATAATCTTTTTATTATTACTGTCATTTAATAATCAAATATATTAAATATAATATTTGAATTCAATATAATAGCTACTGCAGGATTACTCTGGTTACTTATTATACCACTACTTTCCAAATGCTATATCACTGCATCAAGGACACTCTTCACAGGAGCATTTCTGAAAAAGATTATTGATCAATAATTGCTGTATATGGAGCAAGGAGGATATAAAGTAAATAATGGTATTTTTTATCTTGGAAGGTATTACAAACATATATATATATATATATATATAGTATTTTCCTAATTTGTTGAATGCAAGATAAAGTTTAATACTTACATAAATTACCTCAAATTGCCACTATGTAGAAAGGTTTTACATTTTAGTCGTTGAAAAAGTAAAAAATTTAATAAAATCGAGTGTAGAGGGAATAGCATGCAAGTTCTATCATACCATGTGTGACGTTTCGGCCTTGTTCCTCGTCTACTAGTTAAAAGGTACACTTAGTCGTTAACCTGTAGAAGGGCCGCTATGAAACATTGTTGGATAACAAGATTGGTTGATGAGAAAACAAATTAAAACGGTGTTTGAAACATGGCAGCAACATTATCATACTATAAGTATCTACGAAAAAACAAAAATTTACGGAAGGAACCACGTGATTAGGGACGTTGCGTTACTACCAATACCAATAAAGTATCATTACTTTTCTTTTGATACAAGTACTTTTTGTATCGATACCATGGTTTACTCATATCGATATAAGAATACTGGTATCGAATCATTTACTAACCGCCATATTAGTTCAATAATTAAAAGTACTCGTCGAATGGTCGAATGGTATCGTACAGTACAAAAATTATTTTCTCGTAAAATGGTTTGTACGCGTAGTGGATGATTTGTTTACATAAATCAGTCATCACACTATAGTCTATAATCGATACCAGCGGTTCCCAAACTTTTTCTTCTGCGGTGCCTTTTTTTGGACTTAATTTAGCCATGGTGCCCTGCTGTAAATAACATCAAAGTCAGGACAAAAAAAAAAAAAATACTTATTGACAATCGATTTTATTAATTTTATTAAACTTTGACTTAATTATAAATTAATGAATTTTTGAACTAAAAAAATTAATAAATAAAAATTATTGTTATCATTATTATAATTATTACATAAAAATATTATAAGGTTAAAATGAGAATTTCCGAATATGCAATAGAAAATATTTTAAACAATTAGGGAAAAATATTCTAGACATTTTAAAGGACGCATGTGAACTCCGCCACAAGTACCTTTTTTACTGTAAACTCCGTCAGAAAAAAAAAAAAAGTAAAATTAGGTTCATGTAAACTCCGACACTGAAAAAAATCAGGTAAAATGGAGTTTGCGTAAACTCCGCCAGTGAAGATAATCAAGTAGTAGTATAAAATTAATATGATATATTATTTAAAAAAAATTATAATTTATTATCATATTGTGAACAATACATATTTAAATCATAGTAAAAAAATTCATAATAAATAATCGTTATACCTAATAATCCAAAAATATATAGTTATGTCAAGTATGTAATCAAAATTATGTGATACAATTTGTAAATATTCTAAGTCTTATACTACTCCATTAGTGTTCCTATTTATAGTATCCTGTAACTGTTTTTTTTTTATTTCGAATTTCTTAGCTTATTTACTTGAGATATGCTATTTAGTTTTATATTAGTATGGGTTTTAAATTCGGTAAGAACTTTCTAAAAATATGAACATTCGGTTGACTTCTATAAAATGAATTTCTTAGATAACTATGAAAGTATTCATAGGCAAAACACCAAAAAGCTGGCGGAGTTTACATTAGACCTTTTATTACCTTTTTATATTAACCGATATTTTGGCGAAATTTACAATCGCCCATTTTAAACTCTTTATTATGAACCGTAGACCACGGTGCACTCAGAAAGTGCCTGCGCTGCCCTAGAGCACCACGGTGCACAGTTTGGGAACCACTGCTCTATACGATTTTATTCTTATTTCCACGGACTAGAAACCATAGTCCGCAATACAATAACGTCAATAGGTTTCCTCTTAAACGGAACGATTATTCATATCGATCGTTTTTAAATTTTACTCTTATCATTATTTTAATTCGATTCTATACGACGATACGAAGAAGGAAAATGATCAATACTTTTCTCTCGATACTTACTCATATCGGTCCTTTCGTTTCGATATTTTACTCATATCGGTTGGTATTTTCATTCCATTTGATACCAAGTATAAGTATCGATACTTTTCTTTCGATACTACGTCTCTAGGTGTGACGCGATGATGGATCAAAATATTATAACGAATAAAGATAATTTTATGTAATCTGTGATATTAATCTGATAACAGTTATTGACATACACGGTCCTCGGTAACCATTGGTGCCCGCGTGCTAATCGTCTTTTCCCCCTTACACGGTTGTTTGGTAAAGAGTTAGAGCTATTTTAGCGATTTACTGATAGCGTTGTTGTTGTTTGTTTTGGAACGAGAGGACGGTAGCGAGGCGGTAGTTCACGATTATAAATCGCATCTGACCGTCGTTCCAAATCGGTTGGCGTCTAAGACATGTGAAAGAAAAACGATTATCACGGAAACCATATTATTGCTATCATGTCTCATATTGGCAAGTTCGGTCTGCTCGGTGGCAACTTCAAAAAGCCGCCCCAGCGTAAAACCAGGTAAGTGTGAATGAATATTTAAAGCGCCATCCGAAATGTGTTTGTACTGTTAGTTATTATTCTACTTGTTCCGTTAGATTGAATCGCTCGTACGAAGAGTTATCTCCTATATCTTGGCGTAATTATTTTGAGCACAAACGTGTTGTTGACTTGGACGGTAATAAGTTTACGACCTACTCATTGGGTAATGTGGAATCGGTGCTGATTGTTCTGCTCCACGGGGGAGGATTTAACGCTCTCACCTGGTCTCTTTTCGCCGTAAGTATTTTTAAAACCTTGCGCAATCTTCAATGAGTTATGTTATCAATAAAATGATTTCTTTGCCAATCTTGTGTGTGTTACCACACTACTGGCAGCTTTGTCTTTATTTGAAAGATTAAGGCGATTTTGATCTAAATTAAAAATATATGTTCAAATACTTTAGTTATATGGGTGTAGATTTTATTAAACATATTACATAAATAATTTTTAATTCATTTTTATACTATATGTTTTGTGTTTAATTAAGTTTCTTTAATCGTTAGCAGCTGTGTGTTTAGGATTTTCCCTAGGGTAAGGTTGCCACACATTCTGGTATTGAACATGAGTTTTAGTATCCCTAATAATTGTTTTGGAATAAAACTTCAACAATTTATGTGAACATTTTGTTTTTATTAAACATTTGGTTGAACATTTGATTCTTTATTAATAATTAAAAAAATGTTAGATGAACCTTATTTACATTTGGTATCAAAATATTGTTTTAAGTTTACAGCACAGTAAAGTACAAAACAATTTGTAATTTTCAGCATATGGGAACTCTTATTTTGTATATTATTATTTATTCATTAAAATATAATATGTATTTAAAATAATTACATTTTTTTTTTTTTGATTTATACTTTGTTGCCAAGTGTGTGTAAGTCATATAATGTTAAGTTATATAGGTAAGTGATACAATTATTTTAAATAAAATGTATTAAAAAACATTCGACCAATTTTTTTTCAAATAAAATATGGTATTCCTATCCTAGGGGAATATCTTCTTAACATTTTCTTTACTAACAAAAATTACATATTTTTAGTTACCTCATAATTCAATCAAAATTATTAAAATTAAGATAATATTTTAACTTCTGTCATATCATTAAGAATTTTAAAACATTCATAAAAGATCAAAGTAATATTGTAATTCAAAAATACTTTTTTGATAAAAAAAATGCAAGTGGTTTCTTCTTTTGACCTTCTTCCTTAAATGCTTGTATAATATTTTTATTTTCTGATACAAAGATAAAAAAAACTTATTATTTATGTTTTATATTTTTAGTAATATAATTTTAAAATAAATTATGAATGAGAATTTAGGAACTCTTAATTAAAATTTATATTTAAAAATTATCCAAATTAAAATAATATTTTACTAAGTTTTTTTTAATTAATCATACTTAATTTAATGTTATATTATTTTAATTTCAAATATTTATATATTTTTTTCAGAAACATTTAGTAAAACAATGCGAATGTCAAGTTTTAGCAATTGATCTTCGAGGACATGGAAATTCATTCACTATTGATGATACTGATTTATCAATGGCAACATTTACTAAGTAACTATTTTAACTTATTAATATATTTTACTATAAAATAATTCTAATAAATTGAAATGTGTTGCAGTGATGTAATAAGTTTATTACGTAAATTGTATCCTGATAAAATGCCATCAATAGTTTTAATGGGCCATAGTCTTGGAGGAGCTATTGCAGTAAATGTAGCATCCATGGCTGAATCAGATTTACCAATTATTGGTTTGGTTGTCATTGATGTAGTTGAAGGTTCTGCAATGGAATCATTAGCTAGTATGCAAAGTTTCTTAAGAAGTCGTCCTAAATCTTTTAAAAGTCTGAAAGATGCAATTTCTTGGGGGTATGTACTGTGTATATATTAAGTACTACATTTAATAATATATCTTTTAATAATGATTGTAATTATTCATTAAAATTATTAAATAGTTTACATTCTATAAACTTAATTTGAATAATAATTGCTAGAATTCTTACAGATTGATGTAACATAATATGTACATTATTATGTAGATGATGAGTTTATCATAATCATATTTTTAATTTTTAATATGTTTATCAACATAACTCTAAGGTATTTTACAAAAAAACTAAACTGAACTTGTTTTAATATGAGCAACATACAAAGAAATTATATAATAATTAATATTTCTAATATTATACAAATTGATTTCTTAACTGCAAGTGTTGTAATATATTTGGTTGCTATTCTTGTGTTGGTGATAAATAAAGTACTTTCTATATTAAAGTACTTGAGTAATTTGTAAGAAAATTATATATGTATATTACTTATTGTACTGTATTAATAATTTACAAAAGTCATTAGTGATGTATAATATATTTTTAATGTGGATGTTCTTACATGTTTAGGATGGGAAATGGACATATTAAAAATGAGGAATCTGCAAGGGTTTCTATTCCTGGACAAATAAAAAAGTGAGTTATTAACAGTGTAATTATTAATGTATTTTTTATATTGTGAATTTATATTATTATAGTGTGACCACCGGTAAACTTGGTACAGATGAGATAGAAGATCCACTTATTAATACTCAAGAACTGACTGAACCAATTGATCAAACTCAGTACTCATCAATAGATTCTATAAAAGAAGACGAAGAAGAATTTGGCCCATCTTCGTTTTCTGTTAGTTAACAATATTTCTAGCATAGTATTATGTTTTCTTGGTATAAATTAGTTTGTTTTTATATTGAAGATCGAAAAACCATTGGGTAATTATACATGGCGGATTGATTTATGTAAAACAGAAAAACATTGGCCTGGATGGTTTCAAGGACTTTCAAAAAAATTCTTATCCATTCATGCACAAAAATTATTACTTCTTGCCAATATTGATCGGATGGATAAAGATTTGACTGTTGGTCAAATGCAAGGTACCAAAATATTGTACAAGTTAATAATAATATCAGCCTTGATAAATTCTGTACATTTTTTATTTTTATTTATTAATGCATTTTTAATAAGCTGTAAAATATTTTGTGTTCTTATAATTAGGTAAATTTGAAATGCAAGTATTAGCTAGAGTTGGACATGCGGTACAAGAAGATGATCCTGATAAAGTTGCTAGTATATTGTCAAATTTTTTGGTAAGAAATAAGTTCACAAATCCAACTTCAGAATTTGTTCGGTAAGTCAAATAGATTGTTTTATATACATTCAACTATTTTAGAATTATGGAATTAAATTAATGGAATTTATATGCCTCAATGATCAGTTCAAATTTTAATTATGTAGTATAAATATGACATAAAAGAAGAAAATTAAAAGAATATAATAATGCAAATTCATTTCATTAAGATTTTCATATAAATAAATAATTAAATGAAGCTTTTGAAGAAACTATATATTGAATCATTTTTATCATCAGTTATACCTTCCCAATTTTTTTTTAGATTTTACCACTTTGCTATTAAATTTTATATAACTAAAATTTAATTTTGATTGTTGCATTATAAATGGATTAATAAATCAGGTATTCTTATTGTATAAATATTATGGTTCAATAATAACCATTAGACTTTGAATAAAAACTACTATTTTGTTAATAAATTATTATCTATTTGTAATTTTAATCAAATTGTTTAATTAAGTATTCTAAAAAAATATAATTAAATTTTTATTTGCTAGTTATTAAAAGTTAACAATAGTATGTTATGTAACAGTTGTTAATTTGTAATCTTATTAAATAGAAAGCAATTAAAATTCATATATTGGATGTCAATAACTAATGTCGATGAACTTTAATTTAATTTTTTTTCAATTTCTTCTATAAGACAATATTATGTCATGTTAACAAACTATTTATATTGAAATACATTTTGATAACATTCAATTTATTTTTTCATGAATTTAAAATAACAGAATTGGCATTTAAAGTGTGTTAGTTTAACTTAAAATTTGTGTTGCAGAATTCTTCCTGGCTGTTAAGTCATCAATTAAAGCTGATCAATGGTTATATTTAATCAATAAGATTAACGGGTATGCCAATTTTAGAGCTGAAAAATTTTATAATTATTTATATATATATATATATTTTTTTTTTTCTTAAAAATATAAACTAAATAAAAACATAAAATCTTACAAACATATAGTAAGTGAACAATAACAATGAGAGAAATATATTAATGTATCATTTAACTATATCCTATTAATTATTAATAATGTACTTAGAAAAAGTATATTTAATTGTTTGTATACATCTTAAAAAAAATTTATATCTACAAAATTTAAAATTTGTTAAGTGTTTTTACTTAAATCTGTATTATATGTTTGAAATTATTATTAATATTATTATTATTATTATTTTTTTTTTTTTGTTCATTTTAAAGAAATATGTTAAGTAAAATATATAACCTAAAGTATTATAAGTATTTTAATTTTAAAAACAAACAAGTTACTTAATTCATTTAAAAAGAAATAAAAATGTAATAAAAATATTTAATGCAAATGTATAGGGGCTTATTAATTAGGAGTTTTGATTTCATGTTTCAAACAGATTTTGAATGCATCCCATCCTTCATTTTTTGTGTAAGACTGAAACAAACATAAAATAATTGCATCATTAATTTAAATTGTTGTAAGACAAAAATTTTCAATGTCATAATTTATAATATTCAACTTTAATCAATAAATGTTATTTGTTACTATTCAGCAATGGTTGGTTCTACAAATAAAATCATACATACATACCTAAAAAAAGAAAAAAAAACTATGGTACTATTATAACCATTAAATAATCATTAATAACCATTAAATAAACCATTAAAAAAATTTAATTAGGTTAAGTGTTAACATTTGATTAATTAACCAATATTAATATGTTGAATGAAATATATATATAAACATTAAAGATAAGGATTATTTTTTATATCATCAATAAAATTAAATTTTGAATCACATACTTTAAACCCCCTATTTAGTCTGTCCTTCATAATGGCAATAAACTCTCTATAGCTCAATTGACCATCACCATCTTCATCAAATATGGCAAAAACTGTTTGTACTAAATGCTTGCTTAAACTTGTTCCAGTACATATTTTGACAGCTCTATGAAATTCATCTGCAAAGTCAAATAATAAATAAATTATATATACTAGATTAAAAAGATAAATATTAATGGACAATCAAGTACTTTAAGTAAATGTTAAGCAGTTCAACTAAAATAACATGAATTGCGAAATTATCTCCATCAGAAAATGGTTGAAAATGTTGATTGTTTAAATTATAATTAGGTCTTATATATTGTGAAATATTGTAAGTTAATGCAAATTAATCTCTAGTGTCCCACTTTTAATTAATAAAATCATATAGTTAAAAGCTTTTACTACTTTGTTTATATATCCTCAAAATGATTCATAAAAATATAATTGTTTTTAATAGTAGATAAAAAGTTTTTGATTTTTCATAATACTTTGTTTTTAAAATTATCAATGTTATCAACGTTGTCAATATCAGTATTATTTTATTTTTCTATACCTTTTGATATTGGATGATCTGCAAGTGTATACATTCGCATAGCAATAGTAAAGTCTTCTAAATTATTTAGAAATTGACAAAACACTTTAAATTCATCAAATGATATGCCTGGTGGTATGCCTTTGTCCATTTTGATTCTTTCCAATAATCGATCAAGATATGTGTCGCACCTATATTGCCGATACATTTGGAAATTAAATAAAAAAAATAACTACTGATTATGAACTAACATTTGAACCACTTACAAATTTGTATCCAAATGAGTGTATCTTAATAATATTTTGGCAAAATCCATTTCACTTATGGTATCTCCTCCTTTAGCAAACTGTTGAAACTCCATTTCAAGTACTTCCGTCTGTAGATTTTCCATAAAACTAAAATAAAACAATACATTTTTATGAAATTGAAAGTTTCTTTTAATACCAATGAGTATGTTGAAATAATCTCTAAAGGTATATTAAATCTTAAGTACAATTTTAGAGACTAACGTCATAATTTGGGAGGGGGGGGGAGACTTGATCGACCAAAGTTATAAGATTAAAACCCTTAGAAATAAGGAAAATTTAATAGTAATAAAAACTCAGGTAACTTGATTTACATTTAAATCATTTACAGATAAGTATTATAGATGAACCACGAGAAAAAAAAAACAAATTAAGCTTATTAGAACGAAAAATTAAAATTGCAACTATGATTTACAACATTGTATATTTTTTTTTTTATACATAATGTGCCTAACGCAAAACGAATAATATTACTTTCTGAAGTCTTCGTATAGTAATACGTTGTCTCCTTTTTTCCCGAAAAAATGAACAATCAATGTAGTGTCGACCAAATGTTTTTTTTGTAAACCTTGTGCGTCATCCACGAAATCTTCAGCGCCTATTTTATTGGTATCAACCGTATTATCTTCCACGCCATGCTTGTCTTTCCAAGACTGACTGAAGATTTTTTCCATCTAAATAATAAACGTCGAACATCTATTGAATAACTATTTTCTTTTTGTAGTTGTGTATTTATTATTATTATTTTTTTTAAATATTTACAAGATAAATAAAAGCGCAACACGCAAACATAATGAACACTAATAGAAAAATAAAGCAAAGCATATAGATATACGTAAAAAATGTAATTAACCGACCAAATCATCAGCTGCGCGTTTAATGATACTTGATTCTTCATCTGGCAGTTGTTGAACGATCCCAATTTGTTTCGTAGGTAATTGGGATAACTGTAATATTACATTTATATAACAAAAAAAAAAAAAAACCTCTAGTTTTTTAAGTGACATAATATTTCGTATCCATAACCTTAACACAATTTCCATTATTATTTATTCTAACTTTGGATAATAGGGCAGGTAAATATGAATACGATGTACCATGTACCATCTATATATTATATAATAAATGTGAATTATTCATAAGTTACAAAACGCGGCTGTGTAGGTACTCGTTATTCCGGACGAACAGGTAAAAACCGATTAATTCATCTGGTATAATTAGTAAACCGTGCTTGAAACACACTATTTATAATTATTATTATTCAAAAATGGAGTACAGAAATCTGACGGCTAAGTTCACTGGTACAATGAACGAGACAAATCACGAACGACACAAGCATGGACAGATGTAAACCGTTTAATGCGGACATTTTAGCGAAACAACATTTAATAAATTGTTGTTTTGTTAAAATTTATAATATACAAAACAATAATTTATTTAGTGATCAGTAGTCCTAATAGAACAAAGCCTTCTTTAAAAAAAAAAATTGTTCTGGTCAGTAGATATTTTTTCAGAATTAAATACAGTACAAATCAATGCATAATTAAGAAGAATCATAATTCATAATAATCAATGACAAAATGTAATATGATTTCAAAGTTGTGTTTTATTATTATTTCCCCGCGATCGTTCTATTACCAGTTTATCCTAGTCTAGAGAAACCAAGAAGAAAATCTCTAATTCGATATCAAATTTGAAACAGAATTTGTTATTACATGTTTGGAATATTGGAACCAAAACATACGTATATATGTTACACAGAAATATAGTTATTAATGACATAGCGTTAATAACTGTAAAATACGTATTTCAGTTAGTATAAAATTACTTATATTTTAGGAAGTTTAAGAGAACGACAGTTAAGAAATGAGAAATCAAGCAATTAATTTTAAAGAATATTAGCACTTATTTTCGTATATATATATTATATTGTTCAGGATCTTAGGTTAAGGTTATACTTGATTTAAGTATTACTTGACTAATTAATAATGTAAATAATTTTTATTTCTAATTAATAAGCTATATTTAATCAGATATGTGAAAAAATGCATTTAAATCTGAATATTCGGCTACATTTTACAAAGTTCGGGGCTAAAAAGTATCTTATTCAGTGGGTTAGCGCAATTGGCATTGACTACATTTTAATGGTTGGCGTGAAATTTTTTTAATCTTCTTCTTCTGGCTAAATCTACTCTACAAGAGTTTTTGCCGCCATCACGACTTCACGCCACTTCTCTCTATGTATTATATTTCTCCAATCATTCACTCCAATCCTTTTTAAATCTTCCTCGACCACATCTATCCATCTTTTCCTCGGGCGTCCTCGTAGTTAGGTTAGCTATTTTTAATAGCTGTTGCAATATTATCTACTATTTATATCGAGTGGTTCTTATAATTTTTTAATATAGTAAAAAAATAATTTTTAAGTGAATCAACAAAATACAAAATATTATACAGTTAATAATGTTTTAATGTATATACATTTATTTGAAGTGCCAATATAAATATGTGAGATAAGGACATTATAAATTATAATTGTGCTAGTGCGTATGCTTTATAGGTATTACCTAGGTGAATATAAATAATAAAGCAAAAATAAAATTCAGGATAAAATGTACGTATTTTAAAAAAAAAAAAATAACTTAATATTTGTTTGATTACATGACTAAAAAACTTGATTTAAAGTTTTAATAAAAAATTGAAATTAAAATAACAATAATATTTTTAATGGTTTTTTTTATAATTTATAATAAGCCATAGAATCAAATGAATTAGATTTGAACTTATTTTAGTTAGAACAATTTGTAATTTGTATGTCGTGTAAATAATATTTTACTTATTTAAATATATTAACTAACATCTAATATTGTTTATTTTTTATAAATATTTATATAATATAAATTATTAAGACCAATTATTATTTAAATGGTCTTCAAAATCGTAACACGGTAAATAATGTTGATTGTTTTTTTCTACTCGGTATAATTTATATTTTTCTAAACTTCTTAATTGATTATTGATTTTACTAGTGAATTTATTAAACAACAATAACATATATAATGTCATAAGGCATCATCAAAAATGTTTTAGCTAACAGAGAATATAGAAATATAATTTTTATAGTGCAAAAGTGATAACTTACATTGTTTGATGTAACTTGTAAGTGTACTTAAATGTTATAGTTTAATTACACGTATTATATTCAACACGCAGAGGATTAGTTTTAAGCTAGTACTGTGATATAATTCTCCCTGCAAGTATAAATAATTAATTAAATAATTAATTTTTAAATCACTACACTACCCTATTATCCATGTTTAAAAACATAATAAATGAATAACTATAGACAACTCACTCACAATTTCTTTAGCCTGTTTACTAAGATCTATTCTGAAAGCTGGTTTTCCAGCAAGGAGCCGTGTTATCTGATAAAACATAAAATAAATAATAAAAGTAAGGTGATCAATAAATTAATAACGAAATTAAAAGACTCATTATTTTTTTACAAAATACATGGCGATTATTAACCGATTACGAAATTACAGAATATTTAGCCTCATTTATTTAATTGAATAATATTTTAAACAAACACTCAGTTCAAATACTATTAATTTGATAAACAAATAAATACAAAACACTTAACTTGTGTATAGTAGACAATTTTGCAATAAAAATTCAGTGAACTATTAAGAAACTAAAATGAAATAGGAATTAAAATCGAGGCATTTAACTCGTTTAAATTAGCTTCTAGGGTAAAAAATATATAATTTGAGCGAGAAAAAGGCAATACATATCATATTAAAATGATGGTAAAATTAAAATACGTATATCCCATACATGCATTATGAACGTTAGAACTCCCTTAAAAGGAAGTATTTACTTACGTTCAGAAATAAAAAAACAATTAAAAACAAATATAAATGGTGAAAACATGCAGGATGTATAACTATGTGTCAAAAATACAGTAAGACTTCGATTATTTAGTTTATGTATCAATATCAATGTATGGAGATTCTTTTTTTCAGTTAAAATATTTAAGTAATTTAATCGCTGTATTACCGTATAATAATAAATAAAATTCTTAGGTACTACATATAAAATACTATATAATAGTATAAACAATAATGTGGATACGTTATGTGCTTTAACTAATCTTACCACCAGAAATTCATTTTTGTCTACTCTATGGTTACCATCAGTATCGAACATATTAAACGCTATACGAAAGCCACTTTGGGGTTCTGAAATTCAAAACGTTTAACGCTTATGTATTGTTAACAATACTATGGTATTAAGAACATATTTTATAATATGATTTTATTTTACTTACTAGTTAACACAGACAGTAAAAATAAGTATTCAGTATATGATATGATTCCTTTATCTCTAAGTGAACGAAAAAGTTGCGATGAACCCTTTTTCAGTCCGGGTACTTTGTCTCGAATTTCTTCCAAATCTTTATCCGTCATAACATGTCTCTTAAGACGAGCTACAGACATTTAAATTAATTAAAAACTTAAATAGAATTCTTGTTAAAAAAGTGCCATCAATAATTTTATAGATTAATACAATTATACAGTGTAATTTGGTAGGAATAAATTTAATAGAACAATTAATTGCATATTTTAAAATCTAAAGAATATTTATAATGTATAAACAGCGAGTTTAGAAATTAATATTTCTCTCATAATAAAAATTAAATAACTACTCAAAACGAGTTGTGTAATAACACTAGATAAATAATAATTAATATACATTTATGTATATTTCAATAAATGTAAATACAAATTTTATAAAAAAAAAAAATATTTTTCTATATTTTATACTAGATCCTAATAAAATAGCCTAATCAGAAATCGGTATAGATTTTTTTTCCTTTTATTTTAAAGAGTTTACTGCATTATACAATTTTAGCTTGACAATTACGATTAAGGGTATAAGCTATTAAACAAGGCTAACCTTGTTATACCGCATAAACTGAATAATATGATATGGTATGGTATTAATAAAACAGTACATAATTATAATTATACCTCTAGGCTGTTCGTCGACAAATGATTCTAAAAAATCTTGTGGAGTCATATAAAGTTGACCATGATATTCGACTGATGCGAACTTAATAAAACGTTTTTCACGTGATGTTAAGTGTAAACCACTTAGATATTCATCGTCTTCTCTCTGAAATTATTATAAATAATCTAGTACAATAATGAATGAATAAATTATATTGTTGAAAATAGGACCACATTTCACACTTTTATCGATATAGATATGTATACAACGAACAAAGATAATATTTTTTAAAATCAACATATTTTACATAATTTTTAATACGTAAGTTTAAAAGATTATATTAATAACTATGAGATCAATTTAAACTTACTTTAGATAATAAATCAGAAAACTCAGTTGGTTGAGATGTTTTATGTATGAATACAAATTTTTTTTAAATTTTGATGGTTAATTTTTCTAATTCTTTAATAATATAGTTCATTAATAAAATTATAAAATCGTTTTGAGGCAAAAATATTAATACTATTATGCGTATCTACAACCTAAATTAAATACATTTTAGCATATATTTTAGAATATTGTCTGGTATATTAATTAGTTTCAATTAAAATGCATATTTATGTGTGAATACAGTTCATATTAATTATCTTCGCAAAAAGAAGCATGTCAATTGCCATTTAAAAGCCGTATCATTTTTAAATACAATCTAATAATTAATTTTTGATTTCTTTGATTAATTTTTATTATAATAACCCGGAAACATAAGGTTAGGAAATATAAGGTTATCTATTAGATATATATTTTTAGTAAGATATTAAATAATAATTACAGTATTTTAATAATACGAATACATAAAAATCAATTAATTTGAAATACCTATGGGAATTATTGATTTATTACAGGTAAAAAATGTTCAGATCAATAGATGCTCCAAAAGTTGTACGTATATAATGCTATTTTATTTAATATTATATCATGCATTTTTATAAGAATAATGTTATTTTGAATTATTTTATAAGATTTAACTATTTTTATCCCGAAGATGATAAAACATTTTACGATATTTACTTTTTTGGCAGTTGATAATAAAAAAATACAAAATTTAATAAGTTTGCATAAGACCGGTTGTTTAGTAAAACGGTAAAAAGAATAGGTAAAGTTATCTTCAACATTATATACTATATTACGCCCAAGTATTTCACCCCAAACAGCAATGTAGACTGATCCCTGCAGCTGCTAAAATAACAAACAATTATTTCGGGAAGTATTTTTAAAATTAGTCGTAAATAAACACGAAAACAAATTGATTGATTCCTTCCTTCTAATATACATAAGATTTTATTTCCCACACGTGGGTCATTCATGGCGTTTGTCATCGAATGAGTCAAACAGATGGACTACCCAACTTTCTTGGAAAAAATACCACATCTGTATTCTGAAACCTTTCAACGCTAATAATATAATACATAGTCGAAAATAAATACACGAATAATAAAAAAGAGTCGACAGTTAAGAACTTCTTGATAAGAATAATATTAAGGATACATAAATTACCAAAAGACCATTTAAATTAAATACTTTTACCCTTTTATATAAAAAAATGTAGCTCGGCGATTGATTGAACAATCAATCATGGTGCTTAAACGTACGTGATGTTTAGTTTCACACGACTATGATCTTGGAAAGAAATCTAATGGACTGTTAAAATAAAAGCTATCGTGGAGACATCAGACTATTAAAGACAACAACAAGGGGATGTTTTCATTGTTCAAAAACTTGAGCCATATTAGAAATTCAAAATGGTGAATGTAGCAAAGAGTAATTTAACTAATCATTGAATATTTACGATCTCACAAATTAAAAGATAGTATCCAAAACAATATGTACTTTGTTATTTATATATGTATATTGTACAGATGTATTTTAATGTAGGTACCTGTTCAAAAAGACGTAATAAATAATAGTTATTATACATATACAATGAGGTGAACAGCAAAATGATCGGCGCAGCTTAGATAATTACAGAGATAATTAAATGCATTGTTGAAAGATGTTAAGATACATTTTGCGTTGTTCAAGAATTCCCATAAATGTTTTTTTTTTTACAATAAAATGTGTAATTAAATAATTATATGCAAATAATTTGAAGAAAATATAGGAAATGGACTTATACTTTTATTTATTTTTATAGTGGCTGATTTTTCCTCTTAAACGCCAAATATACAGACATTAAATTTATTTATATAGATAAAATAATTTAAAAATTTCATGAAGCATTTCTACAATTTGGATACGCACCGATGAATATATGTAATTCCATACTATAAATAAAATATATAAATTTTGCACAGCTGTACATATACTTATGAAGTTTTGAATTATAATAAATATGTTAACATTTTTATTAATTTAGTTTTGGGAAATGAGGAATAAAGATTAAGGATACTAAACTTTAAAAAATATAAATAAGGGTAGTACCGTTTAAATGTGATTATAATAAAATTTAATTTGCTCGAACATTTAAAAATAAATTGATTATTAATAATTTTAATTATTTAAATTAACTATTAAGTAGGATATAACATTTAAAAATACTTTTGATAAAGGATATTTATTTCACGATAAATATAAATAACCAGACAACTAAGAATTTAAAAACAACGTAAAGTAAAATTATTATTGAATTCAAATTCATAATCATTATATTATTTAATAAAATTAAATATACAAACATTAGCGTATATATATATATAACTTTTGTATGGGGGGGAGGATCAGTTGTAAACAAATCATTATGGAAGGAAAATTCCTAAACCTAAGTACCTGCACATTTAAATAATAAATAATAAAATGTAAATATATATATATATTGAATGAATCAAAATAATAATTTACAATCAGTTCCGGGTTAAAGGGGGGGGGGGGGAGAAAAAGAGGGCAGATGCCCCGGGCGGTAAAATTTTTGACGGCGCCAACAAGTTTTGAAATTTCCTAATGTATATACTAGTTTTTAGGAAAAATTATTAATTTATTATTGAAAAATATTAATAACAATTATATAATATTATAATATAATATATATATATATACTATAACTATAATAGTTATTTTATATTATATTAAATCACTGAGTTATTTCGTCTGTGGGCGTTTAGCATATTAAGGGTAAAACCATATTATTATTATTTTGCGCTCGGACCTATGCATTTTTATTTTCGTTACACTGACACAAAATTGTGTTTATTGTATTTCTCAATAATTATAATTATAATTAATAGTTATAATAATTATAAATTATTTAAAACCATCAGATTATTAAATTTGATATTAATAGTTTCAAATAATTTATTTACACACTAGGTACCAAGCAATTGTTTTTGTTATCTCTCTCTCTCTCGTCTCGTGTTCATAATTGTCGTCGTTGTTGAGTTTGATTCATGAATCACGATTGACTGGAAAACAAACGTGCCTAATATTTTATTTTTAATCAATATGAGTGGAAAGTGTATACAAATGTATATATTGAAATAAATTAGTTGTTTGGATTTTTTTTTTAAATGTGGAAGTAATCGACGATTATATTTTACGAGAAAAATCAAAGGTATTAGTAAATATTTATTGTGTTTATAACCGGAACTTGAGAATGAGATTATACAATTTAAAACAATAATAAGTTTTTTTCGGAAGTATTTTTCAGAAGATGAAAAATTATCCATGCACAGTTTCCTTCAATTATTATCAGTATCAAAGTTAAACAATTAATTTCCTACTGTTAAAACTTTTTATATTTATATCATGTTCAAATTCTAGCGTAGAGAGATCCTTCTCAGTTTTAAAAAGAGTTAAGAGCTACTAGAAAACATAATTATCTAATGAAAATATGTAATAGTTGTCTCTAATATCTATTATAAATATTTTCCTAAAAAGTATAGGTTGGAATAATATTATTAAAGAATTTGCTGCACAGAAACCTAAAAAATAGTTGTAAATGTTTTATATTGAATACATTTGTATTAAAATGTTTATATTTAGTACCTACTAAGGTCTATAAATATGATTTAATTAAATAATCTTAACTATGTTGTTACTTGTTGTATATATATATATATTTACATGAACTATACATATATATTTTTGTTTGTGGGGGGGTTGAAGGGCGGAATTTTAAAATCTGCCCCCATGTGGCAAATTTGTTAATCCGGCACTGTTTACAATAAATCCTTGCAATATTTTTTTGTTTCCTTATAATTTCCTTACATTAAGAACACTATTTTATACAATTTTAAAAAGGCCTATGGGAAGGATCTGACCCCCACATCTCCTCTTGTATACGCCCCTGTATACAAGTATATGAATACAACATATAGACTTGTAATCCAATTTTAGCATGTATCAGACAATACATTTTATTATGAAATAAAACTAAGATAAACGATCTTCAATAAATAACTCGTTTCTTTATTTACGTGTTAGGGTATAATATTTGTATAAAATATATTATCTTACAATATTTATGTAAGTAGGCCTAAACATTGTACAAGTAACAAGGGGATAGACTGGTAGAGTTAAGATAAAATCAATGTTATAAATGGCTGGTCTGAGTAGACACAACAAGGTATTTTTATGGCTGTTTTACATTGTTTTTTATTGGTTAATCAAAAAATGTGTTTTACTTGTGGCATACTGATTTTGTTGTATCATTGATATCATCTTTAATTACATGTAAATACATATTGAACGAGTTATACCTAATGGAAAAATGATTAAATATTGCAAATATTTATGAATAGAATAAATCAATGTTTATTGTTCAGTAAATATTTTAAATACTAGTATTTTTTAACAATATTTATTGAAGTGTTAATACAAAAATAATTAAAAATTGCATTTTTTTTTTGTTTAATAATTCTTCAACGACGTGTTATATCTGTGATGTACACGATTTCGAACAGAAGGATTTCTTCAATAATCACAATCATTATACATTTTTTATAGGAAATCTTGTCTAGTTGGTATTTTGAAAGGGTAATTTTACGAATTTTCCAATAGTTTTCTTAATAATTGAAAATAACTGACGAAAAGTTATAAAATACAAGAGTTTGTGGCATACTGGTTTTTGACAAAATAAAATTTTGTTTTCATCGTAACTCAAAAAATAAGTCGTAGAGATATGAAATTTTTACTGAAAGCATATAACACTTAACACCTAACATCTTAAAGTCTATGGGTATAATTTTTAAAAAAAAAATTGTTGAGCTATTTATAAGAAATTTAAATGTTCATGTTTTCTTAGCTTTTTTTTCAAAAAGTTTTAAAAATGTAATATAAAGTTTAGTTACATTATAATTGATATAAAAAATTATGGTTCATATAAAAAAAAAAAAAAAACAGGATAGTTTAAATAGTAAATACATTTTGGTAAAACGATAAAAATCACAAAAACTCTCTTCATTTTTATAATCGAAAATGTATACAATTTTCATACTTAAGACTAGATACCATACTTGTGTACGAAAATTGTAGACAAGAAATGACAGGGAAGGCGGAAAATTGATTTATAAGCGTTACAAAATAATATTTTTACGAAATTGGATATTTCAAACACTTTTTATTAAACGAAATTTGCGGAGAAATTAGTTAACATTTCATAGCTTAAAATTATTTTAACAAAGTGCCGTTTTTAGGTATTTAAAATGTTCGATGTATTTTCTTTTGTAGCGAAAATTAAAATATTAAAAGTTCAACCTATCTTCATTACCTATTTAGAAATTTGGTTTTGCTACTATATCAACTATCTATAGAAGTATAAACTGATCAATCTGACTATTTTTCCTCAGAATTATTTTTTTGAAATAAATTGTACAATGGTTTTTTGTTTAATAGATCAATATAACAATATAAATCACCCATCATTGTATCTCAACTAGAAATCACACCTTTTTTTTTTTTATTAAAATTAATATTATAGAATTTTTATAATAGAAAAAATAAATCAGTTTATTTATAATCTATATATACAAGTTATTAAACAAGTAATTATAAAATATAGACAAATGTAAAGAATTAGAAACAGGAAGAGGAAGTTTTCAATAGGTGGCACCCCATAAAATATTAAATTAAAGAACAGTAATAATAATGGCAACATTTATAGGTAGGTAGTGATTATTACTTAATAACTAGTTTTTCATTATTCATTACTAGTGTTCTTAAAGCATATTATTTACTCAATCAATTTGAGATAAATAAAAAAAAAAAATCAAGTTAAAAAAAAACACAATATTAAAACAAATTAATAAAAAGTTTTATATTTGAGTTTTAGGTGAAAAATTGGAATAGATCATATTTATAAAATATTTTGGTACATAATTTTATTATAATTTTGAATTTATGGATAAAAAGTAATGTATAGTTAAGATGTCGAAACTATAGTAAGCAATAGATATATTCATATAAAATATTTATACTATTTTGAAATAATTAGAATTTTAATATATACCATTATGGCCAAAAGATATGTGTCCCTACAAATGTATATTTATTATCAATACAATCAATACTACAAATGAAGGTTGTACCCAAGGGGGGGGGGAGGTTTGGGCCCAAACCCCTTCCATTGAAATTTCTACATACTCAACAATTTAATAGTAAATAGTATAATAATAGTATATTGTATATTTTAATTTCCAATTATCTTCAATAAACAAAGCTTATAGATTATATAATATACCTATCATGTACAAACCATACTATAATATATTAACAGTAATTTGTTAGTATTGAGTTAAACCATAATTATAATTAGGGAACAGATAAAATAAAAATTGTTGCCCCCCCCCCCAATAAAAAATTCCTGGATATGCTCCTGCTACAAATATAATAAAAATTAAATTAAACAATGTGTTATAAGTTAGTAAATGTTATTAAAATGGATATTGATTATTATTGATTGTTTCACATAAAAAATAATATGAAGTATTAAAATCTATACATTTGAAAAACTTAAAAAATGGGTTTATTTCCTTTATCACGTCACATGTAAGGCCATACCTTGAGCTAAGTTATTGAGCAAGTCTTTGAGTAAATATAAAGTAAGTATATTCAAGTCGTGATAACTACATTTTAATACTTAACATAATCTATTTTCTCCCTATATAACATCAATTAATGGTAACTTAATTTAAATGTTTAGATGGAAAGTACAAAATTGTAAGCAGATATTGGTTTATATAGGAAAACAAATTGTTATACTAAATTTGTTTTAGTAAAGTAGTTTTTTTCAGATTCATTAGTAGTTATTCATGTAAGCAGAGTAAGTTTCATGGGACACTTGATACCAAACTAATAGGTAAATCTCGTTGAATGAAGGTACAAAATTGACAACTTCATATGACTTGATTTGAATTGACTTACCCTTTTCTTAGAGTATGTATAGGCTTTAAAGTTTGATGTTAATCCATATACAATAAAACTTAAGATTCCTGCCCCTGTAATTCCAGCTATCCTTGAATATTGTCGAAGGAGATGAGAATCCGTAGAAAATCGACGACCAACTGGAATATTATTGATCTTACGTAGCCTGGTTAACTGTATGCTATATCTTAACACTTTTGAAAAATTCATGGTTTTATTGTGTTTATAATCTATAAACAATTAAATTTAAATCAAAATATTTGACTCTTAAATTAACATTTTAACATTGTTTTAATTTATAAATTTAGCTAGACAAAATTTGTCAATCACTTATCTTGAATAGTTTATTGTTGAACGGGTGATAAGCATGGACGTATGATTTCAATTTTTTCTTTCTATTATCAAGAACTAGATGGCGACAGTAAAACGTTGGTTTAAATTTTGTGTATATATATACCTAATGATAAATATAATTAATACACTTGAGTCTAAAGTTGTGTCTTGTCGATACTTAATATTATGCATTGGTATGGTCGGCGATAATGTGGAGCAGATAGGGCAAGAGCCCCGGGGCCTGTACTTCCGAGAGGGTTCTTTATCTCAGCTTTTTATACAAGATTATTTTATAATCTTATTTGCCATAGTATAAGATGCAAATCTGAATATTTCTACTGTAATAAAGTATGTACAAATATGTACAAGTAGGATGTATGTCTTGGGCCAAACAAGTTTAAGTAAATAGGGAAAACAGTAAAGGCCTGATCCTAACCGATCAGCCCCGGGGCCTCAAAAGTTCTCACTGGCGCTGTGTGTAGGTATCATATCATATTGTACGAGTAATTATTAATGAATGTGTAAGATGTTATAAATAATATTTAATGATTTTTCGAATAAAATATTTTTTTTCTTTTTAAATTTAAGCAAATTAATTTTAGTTTTTTTTTGGTTCATGTAGACTGGTTAATAGTGGTTTAAATCAGAAAATCGATTGGTCGAATTGTATTTACAATTCCACCAATTTTTTGCGATTTTAAGATTTTACCTTAAGATATTCAAATAAACACAACACGATTGCGCACAAATAAATTATATATTTAATAAATATACATAAATATAAAATATGTGTGAAATCGTGTTATGTTTGCTCGAGTATAAAAAGATTAGGTTAACCTTAAGGCTAACCTAAAGGTAAAAGGTGCACAATCGTGTTGTGTTTGTTCAATTATTAAAAAGATAAAAAGTGCGCAATTGTATTGGACCGATAGAATTGATGAAACATGTAGGTGCAATAAGTACATCAAATTTCATGACACCTATAAATATCAATGAAAGCCGAAAAATATACATACATTATCAATGATTCCCTAAGCGGTAGGTACCGGACCATAGGTCACCAATACCATAAAATAGAAGGTTAGACTTAAGCCGGGTTCACACTACACCATGCCATGTCGTGTCTTCTAAAATAATTATCTCTGATTCGCTGAACCATATTGTTACATCAAGGTATATCGTATAATAAATCACAAGTTACCTCACTAACTATAAGATACCGCGAAGTTGATTTTATCCAACTTTTGAACGTGTGGTTACTGATTTTAATAGTAATAATTTAATATTCTATGATAGCATTATTCATAACAACAAAGGGTTCGGAAGGTGTTGTATTTGCATGATTTTATTGGGCTATTTAATTTATTGCTAAGTAACCTTAAAATTATTTTCATGACACTATGAAAAACCTAATGGGAATATTTTGAAAGAAAATTTCAAATTTCAAGCTATTTATTTTGTTTTATTTTATCATATATATTTATACCTAGAAATTATGTTTAGTTTAATACAGTGGCGTTATCAGGAATTTTCAATAGGGGGGGCTCTGAAAATTTATTAGAATACAAAAGTGGGGGGCTCTGCCCCACACCCCTCATAGTCATAATAATTACAAATTTTGTACTGTTTTAAAATACCACATTATCACATATTTTCACCAAATTTTTAAATTGATAGCGCTGTCGTGTCATAGAACATGTTCTATGGTCGTACTCCAATTCAACTTCATAACCGTGATACTGGTAACTAATGACGTATAAACCACTAAATTATAATCAATAAAATCAATAATCAATTATTATTAAACTATTGGAATAATTTTAAAAAAATACGGCCAATAGGGGGGTTCAAACCCCATGAACCCCCCGTGAGTACGCCACTGGCTTAGTATAACATACTAACAACATTTGTATTGTTACGTACGAGTATATTTAATGAAATATCTTTATTTTGAACATTTTTGCGTTAAAAAAAAATTAATTGTATATTTTTGAAACGTATTTGTATTTTTTTAAGCGCATAAGTGCATGCATATTTAGTACTTTTTAAGTGCATTAAGTTCCGAGTCCTAATAACAATATAATAAATACTGTCTATTATATAATTTAATATTCATCAGTTATTATTTATTGAAATTTATGAAAATATTTTATATCTAATAAAAAAACTGCGAAAATATGTAACCAACATTTTATAGCATCACCATAAGATATATATTGGTATCACACATTTTCAAAGCACACGGTCTGGTAAAATACACGTCACGGTGAAGTGTGAACCCGGCTTTACACTTTTTTTCGGACATTCCTGAAAATACCTACGTTATGGTATGTGGTTACTATACGGTAGTAGACTGTTCAGTTTTCCAACTACAGCCATCACTGCTGTTAACCGTGGTAAATACTATAAGTAGGTATACAACAAACATGTAAAAATAAATATTTTTTCATAATCAGTCAAAATTGTATTAACTTCGTGTAAACCTGATGATGAATTTTTAATTCGAAACTAGTCGTACGTTACAAATATAATAATATTTCAGGGTAAGACAATATTTAATTTACGAGTATTAACCATTTATTATATTATTTTTTAATTTTTAATTAATTATTTATTATTTTATTAATAAACATGTTATAGTGAACCTACCTAAACACTTTTCTTTAATTTTTTACTATCGAAAAATACTTTTATTCTTATATTTTATATTCTTTATACTTTTATTCTACTTTGTTCGTTTTTTAAATCTAAGTGTTTGTGAAATCAATTCAAATTGTTTAATCTAATAGTATAATTTTTTTGTTTTTAACTTATAATATTTATTTTTTCGCTATTTTTTCACTACATTTAGTAATTTAGTTAGTAAGTTTTAAAATAATAAATAATTTTACAAGTGACTGAGTTGAACCTGGTAATCAATGAGGCTTGACTATGCCTTCACACGTACCAATATCTTGTTGGTAAATATGTTTACATAAAAAAATATTTATCAATATTGCAAGGATAAACTGTTGAGTTAAATACTCTTTGCTGATTACTCTTTAATTTTTACTTTTTAATTATTTCTCATGTTATATCAGTAAATTATTTTCAAGCTCCCTAACAATGATAAAGCCTTAGCTCACGATTACATGAATTTACCCTTATTTTTCAAAATATGTCATATATATTGTCAACAACTTACAAACAAAACAAACAACTAACAGTTGTGTGCATCGTATAATTAATTAATTATTTTTCTGTTTCAATAAATTCATACTTAATAATTGTATATTTATTTGTTTTACATGTATATTTTATATATTTAACAATGATATCCTTTATATACCTATTTGTACACAGTGAGTCAGTTAAATAAGGTAAGGGGTTCGATAAGGGCTAAGAGTTCTAATTATTTAAATAAGGACTTCCAAATAACAGAAAGTGCATCTGATAAATCATCTCATATATTACAACCACACATCTGCCAGTGGCGTATACAGAAAATATTTTCGGGAGGGGCTACTATGGACAGAGTTAAATTACCACTGTTATCTAAGAATTACTAACAAGACACAGTAGATACTTATCTACATTTCACTTACAGAACGTCCCAAAACGATTTGATGTTGGACGCAAATTCTAAATAAACATAAAGTACCATTTAAATATAACAAACGTTTAAAATAATTTTAAGTTTTTTAAAATATTTCGAGGAGGGCTGTAGCCCACTAGCCCCCCCCCCATCCTATATACGCCACTGACATCTGCAATTGATTTGAATATTAAATATGAGTTTATTTGGGTGTCCGTGAGGAGACTAGTTTAATTTTTAATTTTTTTAATATTAAACTATTTCAGAATGTTAATAAATATTTCACTTTGTTTCATTTGATAAAATGTATTTTTAGTCTTATACGATTCTATTTATGTTCAATATTTTTTTCTAAAGGATTGTAGAATAATTAACTCGGTTAGCTGTTTGAGCCTGTTATGAACAACTTATGTGAGCTGTTAGAAATTGGCTATTGATATTATGATATTATTCGTATGGACGCAAAACTTACAATTTTTTTGAATTCATAAATAATTATAATTTTTTTATAAAGTATTCCTTATTCGAAGATTTATAATTAATTTCCAATTAATAATTACATTTTATTAGTAATATTAAGTAAAAATATTTACGTTTTAATGTAGTGTAATGGTATTACAATGTATGTTTTTACAGTTATAATTTGTAAATATTAATTTAAACCATGTAAACACGACCTTAGGTATCTTCAGATTTGACATCAGGCCAATTCTGAACAGGAGCTCCTTGAATTTGGCGTTTTCATCGTCTTCCTTTTGTGAAAAAACGATAATTTGCAAGAACTGTGTCATTTTTGAAGGAGAACATAGTCGCTTTTGGAAGTAATTTTCAATGAAATAGACACATTTACCATTTTTTAGGTGTACACTGAGGTTTGTGATGGTGAGGTTTCTTTCCGTTTTTTCGGTGTTATTATAGTAACAGAAAAACGACGACTGTCGGTTCGAGCTTTAATCAGGTGTAATTATGCTTCCATTTCATTATCTCTGTGAGGAAATGTAACCTATACCATTCTCCGACGTTTAATTTATCTCTTATCCAAATATCTTCTAAATCGAATAAGTAGTTTCGGAGTCCATCGGACACAAACACGTCATTTTTATTTTTAAAATACAACCTTTTAATGTTTAGCAGTAGGTTATTTGTGCCCCGAAAATATTTTAGCTCTAGGTGAGTTGTGGTCCAACTAATTATCGTTACTTATGTACCTATATATATATATATATATATCTGTATACATAAAATGCCTAAGTAAATGTGTAAAAACAAAAAAAAATGTATAAAAAAAAGCGTTCATTAAAGAATAGATGGCAAAGTTCATGCTAAAAGAAATAAAGAATATTGATTTAGTTAAATCATTGAATTTTTAGTTCTAAAACAATA